TAGCGATGCAGACAGAAGCGTGTACAGTATGAGCCAATCAGTGGCAGTAATGACAGAGCATGCGCTGTTACGCCAAAACCGCGATAGAGTGAAGCCGCGGACATCGAAGCGCGAAGTGGCGAGGGTTCACTGTATATATATATATATATATATATATATATACATATATATATATCTCTCTCTGAAATGCAGGATGTATTTTCATTGTTACAAACTGAACATAATGAAGGCATAGTGATGAATCACAAAAACAATGTTAATTATATATCGTGAAATGTTTATTTCTAATTAAAAATAAATGAAATTTTTTCTTAAAGAAAAAGAAACAAGGCATATTAATTAATTACTGGTTATTCTGTCATCGAACCTCTCCATTCACGCATTCCCAGGGGACACTCATGTCACAAAAGATGCAGAAGGCAGAAAATCAGAGGTACATACATTGGAACCACTGAATCCATTACTCAAAACTAATATTGGCCTTTTACTCAGACCTAGGGAAAGGGCTCAGAGAATACTTTTGTATACCCCCTCTCCCAGTGTGAGCTGATAACCCTAAAATATTTGGCTCCGTGAGTCCTTTAGATAGGTGTGAGCAAAGAACTTCACCTCACAAGACATGCTGCAAGTGGGGCTGTATCTTTACCCCAAAACTGGAAACGTGTCCATCCTATGGACACCCTGTGTGTCCAGTGCCAGAAACTCCCTCTGGGAGCACACTGGGGATCTCCACTCATAGAGAAGTACTCAAAGTTACTCATGGTAACAACAGCAGGCCAACCCCTCTGACCTACCCTGTGAAAGGCTGACCAGGTACCCTGACCCCATGGATATCTCAATATACCTGGAATGGAAGTGAGACCTCGGTGTGGACAAATCAACTAAGAAGTCATTAGTGGACGTTTCATCATCAGGATGTTGGCACAGGACTGAAAACCTTTGTGCTCAACCCCATGGAGCTTCTAGAGGCAAAAGGCAGTGTTCCTCCCTGAGTCTGTCTTACATACTTACTGGATGAGGGTCCCTGGCCTAGGATAGGTCCACCTGCCCAGGTTCCAGGGTCTCTTACCTTCCAGGAAGCACAAAACATCCAAACAAGAATGATCCACCATCTTTTCACACAGCATAGCCTAATCTGAGATCCCCATCTGGCCCAATTTTAGCACCTCAAATTACATCTCCAGGCTCACCTGGGTCCTGAGTGTGAACTGAGAAATAAAGAGGAGGCTGGGGATTTATTAAATGGTATCACCCAGAACTTCAGCATGACTAATAAAGCACTATAATTTATCCTGCAGGTAACTTGCTTATTGGAATAGCCATCCTTGGATTAGTCCAGATGAAATGAGAGTAGATTATTGCTGGCAGGTGTTCTTAAGGAACACTGGGAGCCATTGGAACCCCTTTGGTCACACATACAGGCAGGAAACACTAAACAGGTAGCAAATAAGAACTTAACCTAAACAGAGAGAATGGGGGAAGCTGAGTGAAAGTTAGAAAGCATGGAAGTACTTTAACATCAAACCAGTGTATAAACAAGACTCTGGAGGATCCTGGGGGAGACTTGGGGCAGCCTCGTAGGTCCCTGAAACTCTCCTGGGCAGCCTCTGCATGCCCTTTCAGTAACCACTGAAGACCTGGGTGTCCCAGGCTCAAGGACAAGGCTTGCATGGATTGCCCAATATATAACGATGCAGGCTCCATGGAAAGTTGACTGGTCACCTACAGAGAAGGTGCCAAAGATGAGCTATATCTGTACATTGATAACCTGGAAGTCAGAGGACATGGTCATCTAATACTGTGTGAGACACAGTGAAGGAAGTCAGTGGGAACCCAGGCACAAGCCTCACCTTCCGGAATGGGCTACAGAGGATGCTTATGATCTAGTGGACACAAGAACCTCTGGGGCAGATGTGTTGTCAGGGTGTTTCCTGTTGTAGTCTCAGAATTCATAGTTTCCCCAAAAAAGCATCTCTAGTTGTAGTATTGTGTTCCAAAGCCCTGAGATCTATGAATTCAATTACCTGGCTTCCTTAGAAATTAAAATAATCTGCATGTGAACTATTTGCCTTCAGAGATCTTCAATTCAGTCAGAGCCAGTTTTAAGAGAAAGTATAGAAATCGATGACCAGGAAAGAAGGGGTTAACTGCAGGTGTGAAGGGAATGATCTCACTTCATTTTGTAAACAAACCTTAGAAAAGCAGCTGCCTTGAGCAGTGCTGGACTTGTCTTGTATATACTGCCAACTAAGTGAATCTACCTTATATGTTACCAATCATGCATATTTATGGAAGAACTTTTTTTCCTGCTCTTTAGTGATCTAGGCCCTCCATGTGCAGTAGGTTTCCTGTTGGAAATCGGGAGTTTTGTTTGGGGTACACAGGTTTCTACACATATCCCAAGAGACTCATTTTGAGAACTTCACTGTGTGAACCGGACTTTCCCTTAAACACAGCTGATGCAGACAAAAGAACCTGAAATAGTCATTTGGACTTGAAGCAGAAACACCGAAGTGTGAGAAGAAGCAGAGGATACTACCCCCAGGTCATGGACTTTGGGGTCTTTGGGGCATTGGTTCAAATCTCTTGCTTTGAGATTACACAATGATCCACAACTTGAAACTTCCTTGTATTTGCCATTTTCATGTTTCCATTGCTGTTTGGGATGTGTCTTAGTTCAGAAAAGACAAATTATTTGGTTCTGCCTTTGCTTTATGTCAAACTCTTAACTGTTTTCTTCAACGGTGTTCTGCCAATTAAGTCTTGAATACAGGTGAACTTTCATGTATTTTAGTCTAAAAGGCATTACAAGGCTTTAGATATTATACCATTAGCCAAATTGCTATTGTTTCTACAAATACCAAATGCTCCATAGAAATTTGTGTACATTATTTCTCAAACTGATAATGCTGCCTCTAAAGTGAACAATAAATA